ATAGGACCCACCTTTGGTGGTAAGGTAACAGCGTTCCGTGCGCCTTCGGCATTTAGTCATGCCAGCCACATGACCACGGAGACGTCTTGCACTGGCTCTTTTGCTTTGAAATGGAGATGAGCACCGCCCCCTAGAGTCAGGAACGACTAGCACATATGTGCAAGCGGAACCTTTACCTTATACCCTTTATCAGTATTGTTGAAACAAAGATAAGAGAACTGGTAAGATCTTTTTCTTCCGTGAGCTTCTGTTTCATCGTTTGCAGGGAAACAGAAGGTCACGAAAGAAATGCCATGGAGAACCGACCTGGGGCGATGGTACGCGTGCCAGCAGAGAGGGCTCTGCAGGCCACCTCTGGCACGTGTGCCATCACAGATCTAGAACATACCATTCCACCTACGGTTGACAAAAAGGAACGAGGGATGCAAACAACAGGTTAAATGAAACCAGGACAGGCAATAGAGCTAGATCAAGTGCTAATGTGCTTCTTTTATGGGAGATTTTAAGAATAGCTTTCTGAGACAGGAAGGCTAGTCCTCATGATAGATGCCTTCCTTCCCTAAAGAATAGAAATTTGTTTACAAATCATGTTTTTTGTTTCCATGCAGCAAAGCTAAAGATGCGCTGCTAAAAATGCAGAGAGAGCGTGACTTCCATAGAATGCATCATAAGAGGGTAGTCCAGGAAAAGAACAGACTCATTAATGACATTAAAAGGTACGTAAATACAAGCATATTTGATACATATTCAATTAATCAGTTTATTACAGTCTTAGACCAGAGGCCAGATATTAATTGCAACTGATGCTTTTGGTATATAGTTTCCTGACTGATACAATTTATATAATAGATCTATATGGAATACTCCTCAACTTCAAGATCATTCTCTTGCTGAGGCATACCTGGCAATCTTTTATCTATGCTGATCAATAAGTGGATGGTGCAAGCTTTTTTCCATGTTGAAGGAAATTCTCGATGCTTTGAATCTCATTCAGTACCTGAGCTAACAATTTAATTAAAATTTATGGAAAAGTTGTGCAATTTATTCCATATGATGCTATATGTCCTGGAACAATATGAGTGTGCGAGTAAGGAGGTATGAAGCGGACACCTCATCTCTGACTGAGGAGTTTCAACAGCGCTTTGGGGATTTTGCAGCTATTGAAAAGGAGATGACGCTTTTCCCCTCCCCTTTCTCTCTGGGCCCTGATGACGCTCCAGACCACCTGCAGCTGGAGCTCATTGGGCTGCAGTGTGAGGCCGAGTGTGGCAGTCGGCACCAACAGATCCCTCTTGTCAACTTTTGCCACCAGCTGGATAAAGACAGATTCCAAGAGGAGGAAGAAAGCTCAGGCATCTCAAAAGGCCGGAGGACCAACTGGGCTGGTGGCTGTCTGACAAACAGAGGGAAAGAAGCTGCAGCCAGGAGGCTCGGAAGGCCAGCCAGAATCAGAGGGTGAAGAAGAGGTGCAGCTGCAGCCGGTCAGCAGGGATGAAGAAGAATTGCCTCCTCCACTGGATCCCAGGGCATGTAGGATCAAGAAGAGGGAGGCACGGTGGAAATATGCGAAGCTATTCACGAAAAGGCAGCCTTGTCTCTCCTGATGAGTTGCACCGGCTAGCAGCTATTTAGACCAGCATGCGTAGTAGCAAAGTGGTATTTGGAACAACTCATCCATTTCTTGCTGTGCGTTTGTTCAGCCATTGTGATTCTTGCCTCGAGACTTAAACTTTTGACCCTGTTACTGGACTTTGGATTTTGCTTCTTGCATCTCGGACGTGGATTTCAGTTTTGTGATTTGTGAACTTCAATTTGTTTTTTGACTTCTAAATGGTGGTTGACTTAATGGACTTGCTCCATGGGATTTTGTGCTAGGTCCTGGGGAATATTATTCAAGGCTGGTGAAGCCTCAATAAAGATTTCAAACCCACGTGGTATGTACATATGCGAGCAGGATAGGACACTCCGAAATATCTTGATCTTAAGTCCTCTCAAATAATGCCACAAACATATGATTTCTTTTCCTTTTTTGTATCAGCTCACAAAATTACCAACATGTAAACCTCATATGAAAAAGTTATACGATCTGTTCTTCTGGTCTATTATTCCCATGTCCCTTTTTTATTATTTAAACATCAGCCAGCTTCGTTTGTCAGTTCAGTTTACTTTGTTCCATACCTTTCTTACAGCCTGTGATTTTTAAATCCACATTTAAGTCAATTTCATCCTTGTCAATTGAAACTTACTTCTTTTCCATAGTAATATCTAGTCTTTCAATAATGTCAGAAATCTTTAAAAGTATTTTCTGAATCATTTTTCACACATTTCCATGTAAATATCCAGTTTCTCATCAGAAGAGAATTATGATTAATTTCAAACATTTATTCAAAACATATCTGACCCCCTAGTCCATGTTTAACTTTCTAAAAGCAAATTCTAAACACCAATTTTATTGCATTCCAAAAAATAATATTTTTCCAAATCATATTTAAAACTTTTATTGAGCCACTGATTACTGTAGAAACCTGCCAACCTGAAGGGTAAGAAACAAGGATCAAACTTTTTCTGCTTGAAAGGCTGCATTAGCATTGAACTTAGATGGTATCCTGCAACTTCTAGCCATTCAAGTCTTAAGCTGGTTGTGAAACAGTTACTGCAGCCTACTCACGAGGAGCAGCTGTCTGGAAGTGCATATGAGTTGTCCTTTTCCTGGAGAGATTTCACTGGCTGGGATCCAGCATCCATGATCTCCACTGTAAAGCCCAGCCCTTATTGGCAGGACATCTACTGTAGCTTGCTAGGATGCTCACCATCACATTATTGACCAAAATAATAAATAAATCAACCTCTTGCAATGAAATTGAATACTGAATATATATATTTTTTGCTTCTTATATTTGGTTACTATTCTATAAAGAGTTTCTTGTCTATAGGCTAAAG